GCGCTGACAGTCCAGCTAACGAGTGGGTCGTGATGTCGGCCGCTGTCTCTCGCGACCCCATTCTGGCTGCTGCTTCTCCAGAGATTCGATGCGTTCCATGGGCCTCTCCATCATCGTTGTCAGCTTCGCTGCGGGGTCCTTTGTTACTGCAGCGACCTCTTGCGGCTTCGAGCTACTATCATCGCCACTGCTAGGCTCCTGGAGCGCTGAAACTCCGGTCGGTACGGTCGTGTGGCGGCGTAGGATTCCATCTCCGCGATGGCATCGTCCAAGGTTTTTGGTCTAGTCTGTTTCACTCCAAAGGCAACTTGAGGCTGCTCCAGTTGCTGCAGATATCTCTGAAGAGCAAGGCATTCCCTCGCTTCGGCCTGTTTGTCTGGGTATGCCTTATCCGTGAGGGAGCGCAGATCGTCGGCGAGATTCTCTGCCGAGCGAGATTGCAAAGTCACAGCCACATGATGCTTTCACTGCGCTAACGCACGGACTACTGAGCAAGTGGACCTACCTTAGCCGTGTTATCCCTAACATCGGAGAAGAACTTTCTCCCCTGGATGATGTGCTGAGGTCAGAGCTTCTTCCAGCACTCACCGGTAGGCCGCCACCAAGTGACCTCGAGTACGCCCTGTTTGCCCTCCCTGCACGACTAGGAGGACTAGGGATAAGAATCCCCTCTAAAGCAGCCAGTTGTGAACTACGATCATTTCTGCTTGTCACCTCCTCTCTCAAGGATCACCCAAGACACTCATTGCTGAACAGCTACAAAGCAAGTCTACCATCACCAAGCAAAACAGGGAGATGAGTGCTAGAGAAGCGGATGACCTCTACGACCTCCTGCCGGACTCACTGCATATGGCTGTGGACCTTGCCAGGGAAAAGGTGCCTCTACCTGGCTCACTGTTCTTCCGCTCACTGACCACGGCTTTACCTTGCACAAGTCGGCATTCCTTGATGCCATGGCCTTGCGGTATGGCTTGACTCCACCGAAACTTCCCAACAAATGCGATTGTGGAAAAGGGATGACTGTGGAGCATGCTCTCTCCTGTACAAAGGGTGGCTTCCCGACAATAAGGCACGACGAAATCCGGGACCTCACTGCCAACTACTCGCTGAAGTGTGCAATGATGTTCGCATCGAGCCAGACCTGCAGCCAGTGATGCCACAACAGCTATCCGGGGCTACCGCCAATGCACAGTATGGAGCGAGGCTTGATATCTCTGCCAATGGAGTGTGGGGAGGGAGGTTTGAGAAGACCTACTTTGACGTGAGGGTTTTCAATCCTCATGCACCCTCGAACAGGAACATGACACTCTCAGCCTGCTTTAGAAAACACGAGCGAGAAAAGAAACGGGCATATGATCAACGCGTACGTGAAGTGGAACACCCCACTCGTCCTAGCAGCAACCGGAGGTTTGGGAAATGAGGCAACATCTTTCTACAAGCGCCTAGCCTCAAAGTTGTCACAGAAATGGGACACACCCTACAGCACCACACTTTGTTGGCTGCAATGTCCTTTGGCCTTCTCCCTCCTACGCAGCTCAATCAGAGGTGCCAGGTCCTCCATTGGACACCCAGCAAGACCACCGAGCTCCGTGGTTCTGGCTACCACTGAGTCGAGGATGCAAAAAACTGCACTATTTTTCCATCTTGTACTGCATTCCCCTTTATGACAATGCGTTTACAACCTCAGTTGCCAACGAGCATCTACGGAGTCATTCGGCTTTTTGGCTCGAATCTCTGCTGCAGCGCCGTGGTAGCGGCGGCGTACGTCGATTGCGACTCGGTGGGCAACCGGTGAAACGGCCGCCGTGCAGGCGTACCCGTAGTCGGCCACATCCTCGAAGTGGGGTCTCCAATCGTCCCACGACGTCTCTCCGCTAAAGAACCACCGGCTTCCCTGCTATCCTGCCGACTACGCCAATTGTAGCGTGGCTTCTGCGCGTTCAACGGCTTCCTCAGGTATAGCAATACCCGATATCAGATCGAGCACAAATATGAATTTAGCAAGGTGCTTTTATAGTGTGTTAGTGTAAGGGATGAGTTATACAGGGGAACAGGATAACATGTCAGCATTTTGAGTTCGGGTTTGGCTCTGTACTGGCAACGCCTTGTGGGGATGAATCTCATTAGTTCAAAACCACAAGTGCTGCGCTCAACTTTACCTTTATAAACTCGTGATGCCAGAGAGAGAAGTTGCGGTATGCTTTGCTGATGAGGGCCGTAACAGCTGTCCAGAGCTCCGCATCTTTTTTCTCTTGGCATCACATGGTCTATTGTTACATGTGGGTGAGGAATGTTCAGGGGTGCGCGAGAGACAATGTTGGTCAGAGTCATTACCCTCGGCGCGCATGCGCAGCGAGGGTAGGGTTTGTCTCTGTCGTCTAGTCTGTACACGTACGTACTGTTACACGTAGGACATTTAGCGCTAATTTAGAACATTACGGTATTACCGTTACCTTAGTTACGGGGCTCGCGCAAGAATCAGAAGTTAGTCGCGGTTTCGGGAAGGAAGCTTGAGGCCTTCGTTGGGCCGCAAAGCTTCCTTTGTTACATTCCACACATTCTCAGATAGCCAGAGTGGTCTCTCTAAAAACCATAACACAGAACGGCGCAGCGCCCCGACACTGTTACCGCAGGTGCGCACGCACAAACCTCGCGCTGCAGAACAGCTGAAGGGAAAGTCCTTTGTTTTTACTCACACTGCCCGTGATAGGGAATTTTCCCTGGGAAGCCCAGTGTAGTAAACCACAGCTGATGAATCCACACGTAAGTTAGTGTGGACTAGAACCAGCTTCGCATTTTTTGGAGAAAGAAACATCAATTACATAAATTACGGGAACATGAAGGATTCTGAAGGGCACGAGTTCCATTGCACTCAACTTCCCAAACACTGTCGTGTGTGTGGGAAGCACTGCAGTAGTAGGGAGAGCAAGTACAGTGTTAGAGCACACACATCAGCTGTCTATGGTGAGAGAGATGATCCTGCGATTCACCCGCCAGAATTCTGCCATGCTTGCCACTTCAAAATGAAGAGAAAGACTCCAATGGGGACCCCAACAATGTCCAGAGCACATATTTGGAACAAACACACTCCAGAAAACTGTGCAGTAAGGAAATAAAACCAAGTGTACACAGTATGTCACAAAAAACTGTCCTAAAATAGACATGCGGCCACTTCCGTGGGTCATGATAGGTCGGCAGACTGAGAAAGAGGAGCAGTGAGGGTTGCCTGGGGCCACGGCAAAATATTGGTGAAGACCATTTCCCAACTTGGTCAACCGCCAACTCGCATCACCCAGGAGTACACCCACACTCGGTGACATTGAGTGTCCACTGTGTCTGGAGGTATTAGTCAGACCTCTGCAACTCCCATGCTGCACATCATGTGTCTGTGCATGGGTGCAACATACATGTACCATCACACTGCTGCATCCAGTCACATGCCTTGGAGTCTTGGAGATAATGGCTGCTCCATCTGTGCTGCTGAAGCTCCTCGAGTCACTCCAGGTGTGGGAAGAAAGTAGTTGGAGCAGCAAGTGGGGTGGAGTTGGATTCGGGGTAATGAGCGAGCAAGGGGCAGAGAGCATTCATGCCGAATTCAACAAGATAGAGCAAAGGCACCGAAACCAGCCCCACGACCGCGTGGAGAGGCTCGACGGGTAGTTACAAAGCCTACCCAGTCATGTCGCCGCACAACCCCCGTACAAAGCGCAGGAAGATCGCAGCAGAGTGACAGCTACACATACATATTAGCGTTAGCGTCAGCGTCGGATCAGGTAGGAAGAACGGCACCGCGTCCGCGTCGGATCAGGTAGGAAGAACGGCACCGCGTAGTAAATGAATGGGCGTGGCCGCGCGATATCTGCGGAGATGCGGGCGTGGTCCGCCGATGGCTAGGGTCGCAGCATCTTCGAAACATGCATCATACCTATGGGAGCGAAACCTGGCTCCTGGATTCATCAATAATCAAAGTGCTGGAGAGTTTCCAATGTGAAATTGGCCGCAGAATCATTCGTCTACCAAAGCACCACTCCAAAACCGTGGTGAGACTAGGGCTGCAGTGGCCTTCAGTCTCTACACGTATTTTCGCAAACTTACCTTTTTTGGCCAAGTTGCTCTCCAGCACAGATGACAAAATCAGTGGCCGGATCTTCACCTCTCTGGCGATTGTTGATGTATACAATGTGGGTATCGTAGAATGCTGGAGGCGGATGTGAGCACAAATGTCCTTGCTCTGTGCCTCCAAAACCCACCTAGTATTGTGAAAAGATATCATACAGTCTGATTTTGATGTACTGCTGAGATCTGCCGCCACCCATCCCTCGGCAAAATACATAGCCTCAGTTGCCAAGGTTACATAATGGTGCCGACTGTGGGACCTGGCTCTCGATCGGGGAACACATGGACTCCAGACACTGTTGAAAGTGCTCAGGCAACGAATCTACGAAGACTCTTTATGTCCATCTCTCTGGGACTTGGTTAATTACCACATATATACGCCTAGCGCTAGATGGACTTCCTCAGCCCGCAGCTCAGAATACAGCGTATAATATTCCTAGCGCAGGGTTGTTAACCCTCGGCGCGCATGCGCAGCGAGGGTTACAGTACTTGTTCTGTCCGTCTGTCCGTCCGTCCACGTTTTCTGGCACCACGCGCGACAAATAGGTAAAATAGCGACACCAACGGGTTCAGCGCTACACCCGCTTCATTTTCGAAATGGCGATTTTTGTAAAAGTGCCGCGTTCAGAAGTTATGGCATGAAAACCAAGTGAACAAGCCAATATGCAAATTAGCACAGGCTTACCTGGACCGGGTCCGCTTGCTCTGTGTACCTTGGAGGCACAAGAAGTCACAATTATCGACTCCCGCATGCAATCTACTACTGTAGCTAGCCCGTGTCAGACTCTTCGCGAGCTACTCCGCGAGTAAACGCATACTACAAATAGCCCAGCCCATCAATTAGCGGTACCGCGCATGCGCAGTTCGCCGAGGCTTTGCACTTTAGTGCTTTTCATTTGAAGTTGGTAACGACACCCGCAATGCCTGCGCATACCTAAACAATTTCACCCCCAGGGGGAGCTAGGGATATCAGTAGCGTCTCGCTATTGAAATGCTCGGAGTACTTTGGCGAGGAAAGGAGCCATTGGCAGTGTTGTGGGGAGCGGTTAAAATTGTCTGTAGGAATTACGGCAGTTGGAGTCACAATCTTGATTTTGACGTTGTTGTGGTAGGTGGTGGGCATGCAGGAATTGAAGCAGCGGCTGCAGCGAGTCGTGTAGGCTCCCGTGTTGTATTAATCACTCAGAAACTTTCCACAATAGGTATGTCTGGCAGTCTACAGAAATTATGACATATAATTACTCGTTTTACTGTAGGTGAAATGTCGTGCAACCCATCGTTTGGAGGAATTGGAAAGGGGCATTTGATGCGAGAGATTGATGCCCTTGATGGTCTTTGTGCTAAAATATGTGGTATGTATGATAAACGAAGTTAGTGCATTGAAGTGAAACATTGATTCAGTAACTCTTGCTGCACATGTGCCCTTGCCTCAACATAGGTCAATCGGGTTCATACATGGCCTTGCTTGTTCATGCCAGAATCCACTATTACACAATATTATGAGTTTTGTTTCTAATAATAATATTCTCAATCTTCTGGTTCTGCTATCCCCTTACTTGAACTTGTCAAAGCGCAGAATTTTTCTATTTCTGGTGTTTTCTTTCTCTTGTGGGCGTTGGATGCCATGCCGTGTCGGGCGCGTTTACAAGTGTTTGGTCTTCCTCGCGGCAATTGTCGTGTTGTAATCTAGTTCTGTGGAGTAACTAGCATTTCCAAAGAGCAACCAGGGGCTGGACCTGCTGATGATGCAGCTAATGCAGATTACTGAAGTAGTATTACACTTATGGCATGTTACACCCAGCCATCCTAGTCTGATTATCAATCCAGGTGTAATAACTCCGAAATCCCAAACTGCTTCATTCAGCATACAGGCAGAAGCTAGCATCATAACAGCATGTGCACTACAATTAAACGTCCCAAGAAAGAATGGAACAGTCGAGAAGTCACATTAAGGGGATATAGGATTTCTCGTCATGAACAACAAGGGAGACAAGAAGATGCCTCTCCAAGACAGAATGTTATTCATAACCCCATCCATCTATCTCTTGCTATCTGACCATTATCACGCAATTATGCACTTAATATTTGTTTCTATGAAATTATGTAGATATCAAGTAGCATACTCTAAGATGTACGGATGGAGTTGAGTATCACCTTCTGTCTTGGTGTAGGCATCTTCTTTTCTCCCTTGTTTCTTATGACGTGACATTCCTACATCCCCTTCATTTCGCTGAAATGATTTTTTTGCACTTGTAAAATTGTTCCGCATCATCTGCCATGGCCCATTGAGCCGTAATTTTACTCCATTTTGCCTAACAGCCATCAAAAAGTATATATGGATGTATTATAATATTTATAGGTCAGTTCAATTGTGTAAGCACCAAGCCACGGGACACCCTTGTTCGAACTCATCCACAACCAAAACTGTTATTATAGAGAAATTATTTGTTCTGTGTGTATGATCCATGTATACTCTCTATTTGACCCAAATGTGTGCAAAAGCTGCTTTTAATTTCGAGTCTGATTAACAAGCATGAAGTCTTCTTTTTTCCAAGCCAGGGCTCACACACAATAATTAATTTTCACCTTGGGTTTCATAATGGAAAAGTGCATCAATATTTTTAGTGTACATACATTTTTAAGAACAGTGATTCTTTTTCCACTCAGCACTTTTCCCCAGTTGCTTTAACACTTTACCAGCCATGGACAAATAAATCTGTCGTGACCCTCCATGGAATTTAGATATGGGTTATAATACCATGCGCTAATACTTTCTGCTTATGTAAGCAGATACCCATGGCATCCAGTGGGTTAAAAAATGTGTGTTTTTCTTCCTACTTTGAGTTTTATTGGTAAGAAGCTGGGAAGAGTAGGGATGTATGATTGCCATGATGACCTCTTAATTGGTGAACAGAAGTATTCACATGCATGGTGTGCAGTATAGTTTGGGGCATAAGAAGTAGCATTATTGGCCTCATGCCTTAGCCTGTTTTTTTGTCGTTCACATGTTTTTATACCATAGTACATCAATGTACGAAGTTTCATTGTTAGCATAAGGTGCAAACATCATTTTAATTTTTTTGGGCTTGAGGGTGTTGTTGTTGTTTTGAAACAGAAAATATTTTGAGGAATCATAGTACGTCAGTTTACCAAGTTTCATTGAAACAGAAATTGGCAAAAGCACTATTTGCAGTGTTTCATTGCTGGAGGTTTTTTTTTTTGTGTTTGTTTTGATTAACTCTTATGGTACATCAGTGTACCAAGTTCCAATGTTAGAGGACTCACTGTAAGGAATTAATATGTTGGAAAGACACTGTTTACAAGGTTTTATTGCCTGATGCTGTTTGTTGTTACTTACAAACTTGTACTTTTGTTTTGCTTCATTGTTAGAGGACCAACCATAACCAAGGTGAGGCACAAACACAGTTAACAAGTTTTTATAGCCTGAGGTATTGGTTGCATATCTCTACAAAGCTTAATCATTGTGGCTAATCGCATTTACTAGTTATCACGCTTTATAATATATCTAAATTTCAATTGAAATTTTTTTTCCAATAATTATCTTAACTTTTTTCAATACATGGGCAACAACAATATAAACAAACTTTTGTGATTTAAGCCATTTATTTATTTTGACCGTTGGATCGGAGGTCTGATTGAGCTTAATGTGATAATCCGAAATTTATGGACACTGCTTTATAACCTGCGTCATTCCTACCTATGGTACTTGGTAAAACAAGTCAACAAGTAAATATAACAAGTAAATAAAAAAATCCTCCGAATTTTAAAAAAGAGGCATATAGGGATTGTATAAAAAGATAGGGAGACAAGATAGGGATGGGATACATGAAGCGTGGTTGGTTTTGGTTTGTGTTTTGTTTTTGTTGTTTTTTTGTTTTTTTTTTTTGTGGGGTTTTGTGTGTTGGGTGTTGGTGTGGTGGGGGTTGGTTGGGGTTGTTGGGGTGGGGGGGGTGGTTGGTGGGGTGGGGGTGTTGGGGGGGGTGGTGGGGGGGTGGGGGGGGGGAGGGGTGTTTGTGGGGGGGGGGGGTGTGGGGGGGGGGTTGGTGGTGGTTGGTGGGGGGGGGGTGTGGTGGGGGGCGGTGGGGGGGTGTGGGGTGGTGGGATGGGTGTGGGTTGTGGGGGGGGGTGGGGGGTGGTGGTGGAGGGGGGGTTGGGGGGTTGGGGGGGTTGGGGGGGGGGGGTGAGGGTGTGGGTGTTGGGGGGTGGGTGTTGGGGGGGGGTTGGTTTTTGTTTGGTGGGGGGGGTTTTGGTGGGGGGTGTTTTGTGTTGTGGGGGGGGTTGGTGTGGGTTGTTTGTGGGTGTGGGGTGTTTGGGGGGTTGTGGGGTGGTTGTTTGGTTGGTTTGGTTGTTTTTTGGGTGGTTTTGTGTGTTGGTGTGGGGGTTTGGTTGGTTTTTGTTGGTTTTGGTTGGTTTTTGTGTGTTGTTGTTGTGGTGGTTTTTTTGGGGGGTTGTGTTGTTTGTTTTGTTGGTTGGTTTGTTTTTTTTGTTTGGGTTGGTTGTGGGTTGTTTGTGAATGAACAGATTTGTGTACGCTGACACCCGACCCCATCCACACAATCCTATATTGTTGCCTGGTGTGCTACTCTTATAGGGCTAAAGGTACTAAAAACAGCATTCTTCACGTGTCCCTGTTGTGTTTTAGATATAGGTTATACTGCGCGTCAATGGAAATACCTGCGATTACGACGGTCCATATCGAGGGGCCCTGAGCTCTGTAGCTGTATGATTGCGCAGCGAAGACGCTCACTAAGGGTCTACGAAGCCGTCTAATATCGCGTATTTCACCATGACAAGGCAGGATAACTGTTAGACGGATGGCCGTGCCGCCTTCAAAATCGTCCAGTTCCGCCGTCTCCGAAAGACATCGCTCTTGCGGGGTGAGGAGCGGGAGGGAATGGAAGTAAAAGCGTCTTCAGTTAGTTTCTTTTTGACATCGTAGATGAGGCTTTCATCGAAGAAGCAGCGTGGAGATAGCGAGCTTTGAAGTCGTCGCGGCACGAGCTCTGTCAGCGACAGAGCGAGTTTCTTTGCGCGGAAGCTTGCCACACCCCCATCGAAGACGCCATTTTTTGGCGGGCGTCTCCATGGAAACACGCACTTGGAAAATACGGGATTTAGAATCCACGTTTTACGCAATCTGATTGGTCAATTTGAATCTGCCGACGTCTAATAACATTTATACTGCCATATTCCATTTAAACTCCACTTGGACTCGTTGGTTACTCAGTCTATTGTAAGTTCTGAGTATTGTAATTGTAAATGTTTAATACTTCACCTAGGCAACGATATAGGGATTGTGTGATGGGGTCGGGGTGTCAGCGTACTCAAATGTGTTCGTTAACCACGCTTCATGTATCCCATCCCTATCTTGTCTCCCTATCTTTTTATACAATCCCTATATGCCTCTTTTTTAAATTCGGAGGATTTTTTATTTACTTGTCTCCACTCATTTTTATATACTACTACGTATTATCTCTGGTGCAAGCCCCTATAAAAATTTAAATACTAGGGAAAAAATGCCTGTTGTCGTCATGGAAATTATGTGCATACCATGTTTCATCTCCGTGTGTGCTGCTGTTAGCAAGTTTGAGGAGTGAAGAAGAAATTTTAAAGAAAAGTGCCTGAGGCTATTTGTTGTTGTGGTCGTCATGTAAACGATGTTACACACATGCATACCAAGTTTCATCTCCATGTGTGATGCCGTTAGCGAGTTTGAGGAGTGAAGAAGTGATTTTAAAGAAAAGTGCCTGAGGCTATTTGTTGTTGTGGTCGTCATGGAAACAATGTTACACACAGTGCGCTCCAAGTTTCACCTCCATGCGTGCTGTAGTTAGCGAGTTTGAGGAGTGAAGAAGTAACAAAAGTGCCTGAGGCTATTTGTTGTTGTGGTTGTCATGGAAACGATGTAATACACATGCACTCCAAGTTTCACCTCCATGCGTGCTATAGTTAGCGAGTTTGAGGAGTGAAGAAGTAATTTTAAAGAAAAGTGCCTGAGGCTATTTGTTGTTGTGGTCGTCATGGAAACGATGTAATACACATGCGCTCCAAGTTTCACCTCCATGGGTGCTACAGTTAGCAAGTTTGAGGAATCAATAAGTGGTTTTAAAGAAAATTGCCTGAGGCTTTTTCAAACAAATTGCAGTCGTCATGGAAACATGTAATTGTCATGGGAATGATACAATAGGCGTACATACCAAGTTCCATCTCTATGCGTGCTACCATTGGAAAGTTTGATGAGTGAAGAAGTAAATTTAAAGAAAAGTGCCTGAGGCTATTTGTTGTTGTTTACAAACATGTATTGTTGTGATTTTGATGTTGGTAATTGAAAACATTATGTCTAGAAAGTTTCGTTCACATAGCTCTTACCATTTGTGAGTTATGCTGACACATGTGATTCCATTATAATGTATTGCCTGGAGCTATTTGTTGTTGTTTACAAAGAAATAAGTATGACCAGTCTCTTCGGGTGACGGATATCTACATTCTTACAAAATTTCATTACTGTATGTTATTTCGTTTTTGAGTTATGGGTGTTGAATCTGAAGAAGAAGAAGAAGAAGGAGAAGAAGGAGAAGATGAACAAAACTCCCTATCATAGCTCCATACATCTATGATGCTAGGTACCATGTCAATCCCTATATACTAAGTACTACCGTACTTAGTGATATTCTTCAAATAAAAAAAGTGTGGAATATAGGGATGCCATGTAAAGCAAGGAAACAAGACTGGAATGACCTAGAGTATGTGATGCAGTAGCATAATAGATGATGATTACATACTCAAACTGACATTGCTTGCTCGTGTACATTTTCTTCCACACAAGCCCTAGAGTTTGTTTAGTCAATGATGTAGTGTGCAAGAGTTGCAAAGGTAGAGAATGCACCATTGTGAAACAGGCTAGTTGAGCGAACAAGGAAGTCATAGACTACAAAATGCAGTCACAACTCAAAACTAAGGATCTGTCAGAGTTGGTATTAGCTACATACCTGTCTCATGTGCTTGGGAATGGAGTCATAGCTGCAGTGCTGCACATCATACTATGGAGATCATTCGTGCTTTGTGGGCAATATTTGGCTTGTGTGGAGGAAACGTTACACTAGTAAGCAATGTCAGTTTGATGTAACCATCATCATTTCTGCTGCTGCATCACATACACTAGGTTATCCCTGTCTTGTCTCCTTGCTATAAATGGCATCACTATGTTCCACACTATTAATTCGAAGACTTGTCTCACCTTTATTTTAATTCGCATCATGTGCTAATACACTAGCATACAACACCACGTCATTGTAGAACAGCCTGTCATCCCTATGTACTAAGTACTACCGTAAAGTCCTGCCAATTTAAAACGGAGGCATATAGGGATAGCGTATAGTCTCCTATTATTTCCACCACTATGCGGGCCTGATTATCGCCATTCGTGGTACAGTAGATACATTATGGGCGCTAGCACCTTCAACGCATGCGCAACAAATGGAGAAAAACACATGCTCTCTTTAAGTGCATGTGCCAGCTTCAGGAAGCGTTCGACGGCCAAGTGACGGCGGTTTGACCGATTACTACCTCAGATTGGCCAGTTCTTCCTGCGGGCAACAGAACACATTACTTTATAGGAGGATAGAGGATTTTCTTTGCACAAAAAGGTATTTTTAGATTTTTGTAGGCCATTCATGAAGTAGCTAGCTGACGACGGTAGTTAGTATTATGTTTCATTTCTTAATACCGGTAGAATATCAAGGAAACAACTAGCCTAAATATGTCGACGTCAGTGGGACAGGAAAGACATGGAGGCAGCAGTGAAAGCTGTATAGGAGGAGGGTATGAGTGTGAGTGGTGCTGCTCAGCAATATATGGTACCCAGAAAGACACTTGATGACAGGATTAATGGTGGAGTACAGCATGGTTGTCACCCTGGTCCGTCAAGTGCCCTCACGACCGAAGATAAGAGTGTCTTGGCAGCTTACTTTTTGTGCATGGCCGAGCATGGTTTTCTTCTGACATACATTAACATGGATATTGGTTTTGCATGGGAAATTTCGCTTTGTTCTGGCACACAAGAGCGCTTCAATCCCGAGACAGGACCAGGAAGGCACTGGTGGCGAAGCTTCCGTTCACGTCATCCCTAGCTCACTCTCCGCACGGCCAACGGGAGGTATCGAGCTAATGCATTGACCAGGGAGGTCGTCGATAACTATTTTGACTTCCTCAAGGTCACACTAGTGCAGAACACCCTCATCAACTCACCATGGAAACTCTTTAACTGCGATGAGACTTTGCCCCTCAACATCTCTTGTGGGAAGGTGGTCACTCGCAAGAACACAAAGCACGTGTATGCACAGTCTAGGGGTAAATCTGAGCACATCGTGCTTCTTTTGTGTGCCTCTGCACCTGTGAGTAGCGCTGCCACCTATGAAAATTTTCTGGTCATGAAGGTGCAGTTTGTTTTAAGAGTGAGTCTTGTTGGATCAATTAGTGTGGATGAAGGTGTTTCTCAAGTACTGTGGCTCACAACGTCCCGTAATTTTGTTCGTTGCTGAGAACACCAACCACATTAACCTCAATGTGAGATCTGGCTCGTGAAAATGATATAATTCTCTCTTGTCTGCTCAACATCCCCAATACTACCCACGCTCTTCAACCCATGTGTAGTAAATACACCATTTGAGCAAGCCTTTTGTTAGTCAACATCTAGGCTAGGTTCCTCAAGTGTGGGATTCATCCGTTTGACCCCAATGCCATCGACAAAAGTATGCAACCTCTTCAGGGGTTTAGTTGGTCAACTGAATCTGACTTGTGACCTGCTTCCTGTTCAGATAGCAGTGATACATCATCTGCTAAACCAGACTCGGATTACTCCCAGATATCCAGTGTCGATCAATCTCCAATCGTATCGTCATTGTCCTCTCATTTTGACAATAGCTACTGCTCCTCACCTGTGCCATCAGGATCGTTCCATCACACCACCACTCTTGCCACTCCAACTGCTGCTGTTTGTGAACCAGTCACTCCACCTGCTTCTGTGAGTAGCATCTGTTACGTGTCCTCAAGTAATCCACCTCTGAACGCCGTCCGAACTCTAGCATCGATAGACACTCTATATAGGGATGGCACGGTATGTGATCCGCACACAAAACGCTTCAAAACCCGGCGAGAATGACTCGCTAGGCCTTTGAAGCACAGTAGCAATAGTCTGCGGGGCAATATATACCTATACATTTACCTAAAGACCTCATATGCACCTTCAGTCTTCCATGCGGGAATTCGCTCACGCGATTTTACAGGATTTTCGTGTCGTCATATTCTTCATTTTCTTCTTTAAAACCACTATCTACTTACTGGAACCAGTTGAAGTGCTGAATGTCTTCAGATTCGCCGGGGGTGTTCATGGACATGAAGCAATCATTTCTTTGTTGTCGCGCGTCTCTATATACAGCAGATTATTGATCTCTTCCATAGTGACACTGACCGACGCCATTTGCTGCTAACTCAGCAGTTCAAGGGCATTTCCTGATCCGTGCGCAGCCTCATGCTGGTCACCTGAATTAGTTCTCTCTGGTGGAGCCAGCTCCCTACATACATGACACCATCCGTATATCTTATTTGTGTATGAATCATGTAGCGTTGCGGGTGTTTGCTGTGTAATGATCCCTTGTTTCTTACTTTTTCATGTTTTGAGCCATCCCAATATCCCCCTTCATTTTTAAGAAATGATTATCCATTATTCTTTTAAAAGCTCTGACAAACAAAGGGAAGTATTGTATTGAAACACAGAGGCGTTATAGACAACCATTGTGTCTAGCAATGCATGTGCGGGTCTCTTAGCTGTGTATTTACCCCTTGTTTCTTACTTTTGAGTCACCCCTATATCCCCCTTAATTTTGAAGAAATGATTTTCCACTTGTTTACAATGGGTTAGGCAAATCTGTTTATCACTGTTTTCTTTTTTGTAGATAAATCGGCTATTCAATTTCGTGTTTTGAATCGAAGTAAAGGACCTGCTGTGTGGGTGAGTTTGTGTTTGATAACCTCATACCCACACTCATTTTGTAGGGGAGATGAAAGGTTCCTTTCACTGATTGAAGTTAGCCTCGGAACACAGGCCTTCCCCGTTCAACACGGTGTATAGTACATAGTATACGTGAGCATGCGCAGAATAATTGTGCGTGGGCGATCTGTTCAAGGAGATCTCCCACGCACAATTTCCGCGCATGCTCACCCGTCTATATGCTACTATACACTGCGTTGAACGAGGAAGGCCTGGGTTCCGAGGCTACATTGAAGTAAGTTCTGGAGAGAGAGAGGGAAAGAACCAACTTTTTTGGTTGTCGTGCTGTCGAACGTAGGGGTCGTGACTGGAAGTCTAGAGCAGACTAGAAGTGCACTACACTTCCAGTAACGCTGCCTGAATCAAGTTTGTTCTTCTTTTCCTCCTTACATGTGTGTTTCCATCGTATATTTTATCATCCATTTACTAAGAATGTTCATTGTTCCTTGTACCCTTTTACCATTCGTGTAATTATAGGACATGCATCCAAGGGGTGTGTGTTTAGGTGTGCAGTGACAAAACTGTGATAACTAGACCTGTCAAGTTCAGCACTCTTAAATTGTGCTCTTGCTGGTGAAGCCATTGCACGTTGTGAGGTGTGTGCATCGTATAGCAGGAGTTTAAAGGGCGGATGTATTGTGTATTTCTTGCTCTGACAAGGGCCAGCAGCCACAGTGAACGATGTTTCGTGCAGCGCCGGACTGGGGACTTGTCCTAAGAGTAACTTCATGCTACCTATAGTTCATTGGCTTGCAAACACTAGTCTCAGTAAGCCAGTATGTTATAGTGGCTTTTTAACTCGTGTTTCATGCTGTGGTGTAGGAAAATTTGGGTTGTATCCGTCTGTCCCCACATCCCTATGTCGCATTTCATGCCATGTCACCCACAAAGGAGAATAATAGCGTGTCAGGTATGACGAGACTGAACTTAGAGTGCAATAGTTTTACCACGACAAGGTCCCACCATTTTGAATCTACGACTGACACACATGCGTTTTCATCAGCTGTTATACTTAGCGCATGAGCTTGCAAGGATATGCACACAGAGGCATTAGTACAGAATAATGATCGTGATATTGCACATACCACCTAGCTATATCGCAGTGCTCCGATATATCCTTGATAAAGGGAGTGCAATGCCGATGATCCGATAAACCTCATTTTCCATGTGTGCTAAAGTATTATTGCTAGGTTTTAGCTACACTGCATGCTATAATTACCACTCCAGTGATAGCACTGGTTCTGTTGCACTTTAGTGCTTTTCTATTATCCATCCATGCCTTCATTGTTCTGACCTTATCGGTATAGCTGGTCTTGATGTGTGCGCTTATAAGGAATAAGGCAGTATATGAGGACCAGTTACCAAAAGAAAGGGCTTGCTAGCCTCGGCGACAGGCTTTCCCTCTACTTAACCTTTGTGCTTTTGAAATAAAGAAGGGGAAGAACCTGGTCGATAAAAACGTTAAAATGCTTATGATATTTTGAACAAGGTCACAAATTCATAGTGCCAAACTACAGCAAATAATGTGGAAGCAACTCTGCCATTCCTGGCCCGCCATATTTAAAAGCACTCCCACAAGCCTGTCATTACATTCAGTTTCGTTAACTCTTGCTCGAAAATACGAAAAAGTCGTGCTACTGAGTAACCAAGAATACAAAAGGAGTGGCACACCAGGCAACAATATAGGGTGGTGTTGGGGGTGTCAGCTTGCTCTAATCTGTTCATTAACCATGGTTCATGTATCCCACCCCTATCTTGTCTCCCTTTCTTTATATACCACCCCTATATGTTTTTAATTCACAGAATTTTTAATTTACTTGTCTCTATACTAATATAGGTTACACTATGCCATCGAGTGGGTGTAGTGTAACCAATTGTACCACAGGAATGCGCACTAAGACAACTTATTAGTATGTATGCCATTGTGTGTGAGAGCTCATACACCACATGTGAGTGTATGGCTGAGTCAGCACACCATACACCATGGCATGCATACTAATGAGTTGTCTTAGTGCGCATACACTGCGTGCGGTGCCTTTGATTTCTAGGGCTTCTGTGGTACAACTACGTATATCTCTGTGAAAGGGGGCAAGCCCCCTATAAAAATTAACAAATGCCTGTTTCATCCCATCTCCATGAGTGCTACCGTTAGCAAGTTGGAGGAGTGAAGAGCTATTTGATGTTGTTCAAACAATATGTGGTCGTCATGGAAACAATATGTGACAAGACGACCCTTATGACGCAAAATTTGCAAAATAGTTTTGTGCACTAGACCGAACGTCCTATAAAAGCTCTATAGTTTGCCGTTTATTTCAGGGGCGTAGCCCGTTCCGAAGTTATGAGCACAAGTGCAAGTGCCATTCCGCTGCATCTAACGTGAAAAATCGTGTCTAAAGTTGAACTTCTGGTGTCAAATTTCAACCTCCGTATTCTCGTAACAAGTCCGTGTTACAACATTACGCGTGTGCGTGCATCCGGCCGCATTCATTGTACGCCGCTAGATATATAAACGTTGTGAAGGGGAATTCCCGTTTACGTGACTCCGTAAAAGGTTTGATTATTCCAGTGTTACGTTTCCTTGTAATTCCGCGTAACGACGGCACAAGTAACTGTACTTGCCGGATACCCAGGGCCATAACTACGGAACGGAACGGAGTTAGTGCGTCAAACTTGTGCAGATTATAGACGATACACAGAGGTACTAAAATACGGGGAAAATGGGAATCGGTGAATTACGTATTTCGCCGTAAAACCGCCGCTACTACAACAATACTACGTGCGTGATAAGGGTCGTTTTCTCAGAGCCTATCACATATGTAACATGCATGCATACCGAGTGTCATCTCCATGTATGCTACCGTTAGTATGTTAGAAGAGAAGTGTCTGTGTACCTTGGGGGCTCAGGAAGTCACAACGAATGGCATGTATCGACTCCCGCATGCTAACTACTACTGTAACTAGCCCATGTCAGACTCTCCGCTAGCTACTAGAGGGAGACCACGAGTAAACCCATACAAATATCCCAGCCCAAGAATTAGCAGTATTGTGTATGCGCAGTTCGCCGAGTGTTTGCACTTTAGTGCTTTTCATTGTTTACAGTAAACAGTGTTGTTTACAAGCAAATAAGTATGACCAGTCGCTTCCGATGACGGATATCCACATTCTTACAAAATTTCATTACTATATGTTATATTTTTTAGTTACGCAAGTTCAAGAATGAGAAGAAGGAGAAGGAGAAGATGAACAAAACTCCCTATCATAGCCCCATACATCTATGATGCTAGGTACGATGCCCATCCCTATACACTAAGTACTAGTGATACTGATATACCAAGGAACACCAACACTTTATGAAAAACAATCACATTATAGTAAAGCCTAACCTTGAATGCTTACCATCGTTTAACCCTCGGCGCGCATGCAGGGAACACGCATATTTTTTACACACTGCCTAGCTCTCATATCGATGCGAAATCTCAGCGAAAGAACTCTCGTCTATTCGCTGGCATTCGCTGCGCTCTTCAATACCTGACTTCCAATCTTCGTGGTTCTAAGGTTTGTCATTCTGTCCGTCTGTCTGTTACCACGTTTTCTCCCGCTATGCGCAACAAGACAGCCAAAAAGTGATACCAACAGGTTCAGTGCCACACTGGCTTTATTTAAAAATAGTGATTTTGGTAAAAATGCTGCGTTCGAAAGTTATGGTGTGAAGCAAAGTGAAGGAGCTAATATGCAAATGAGCACTGGCTTACCTCGGCCAGCTCTGCGTAGTTTGGAAGCACCAGAAGTTGCAACGCAGGATGAGTATCGACTCCCACGTGCTACAGTGTAGCAAGCCTGTGACCGACTCTCAGCCAGCGAGCTGGTAAGCGACCACGAGTCAGTAAAACGGTATAATTGGACCAGCCCACCAATTAACAGTGCCGCGCATGCGTACGGTATAGCGTGAACGTCATCCGCATCTACACCTTGCGTGGGACAAGGCTGCGTAGAAAATCATTGCAGGTGAGCTGCTGAGGCACAGCCTGCCTAGTTGGCGAGCGGGAGCGAGCTAACCTAGTGGTCCAAACGGCGCGATTTTTCTATTTATACGACCACGTGCGTCGTGTAAGTGCGCATGCTCCCGCGCTTCTTTTTATCCGAAATGATTTAAACATTTCACATGCTGCCTGATGTGTCGTGCGTGTGTGTAGCTCCGTACTCTTGCATCAGTCTTGAGAGAATGCCATTCGTCGTCGAAGAGAGAGGGAAAGAGAACATCGTGTCAGTGAGACTCCTGAGCAGGGAACACGCATATTTTTTACACACTGCCTAGCTCTCATATCGATGCGAAATCTCAGCGAAAGAACTCTCGTCTATTCGCTGGCATTCGCTGCGCTCTTCAATACCTGACTTCCAATCTTCGTGGTTCTAAGGTTCAAGTTGTAAATAGGCTAGGATGGCTAATGCAGATACAGTCATTGTGTGCTCGCTCCCGCTCGCCAAAAATGCCATGCATTCGCCTACTAGTAATAAATGAGATGTAGCAGCTTAGTAGAATGTACACGTACTTTAGAACGTGTATACAAATTAATCACGCCAACTGTGCCGAGGCGAGCACTTCAGTGCCTTTTATTTTACTGGTTAATGAAATTACATAAACTCCCTCACGGTTACAGGTTAACATCTTATAGGTGTACTACTAAGCCTCTTTCAAAAATGAAAATTAACCACTTTAGGCAATATTGCAATGAAATTTACTGTAGAGCTGGTGTGAATTGCTTTTGGGAGGTAGAAAACTCACAGCAGGTGCTTAGTGCATTCTATAAGAATAAGATTAATTATTTTTCTGCACCAAAGCATGGTGACGGGTTACGATTTTCTACATTACATACTAGTATTCCGCAAGACTCCCAGAAAAACATGCTTAAGATAGAGATAACACCTTCCTTATAGTACGTAGCAATAGCAAGGAGGTCTGG